TATATATATATATATATATATATATATATATATATATATATATATATATGATAACCGGCCGTATCCCACCGAGGCGGGGTGGCCCAAAAGGAAAAACGAAAGTTTCTCCTTTTACATTTAGTAATATATACAGCAGTAGAGTTTACCAGCCCCTTGCTCCCGGCATTTTAGTCGCCTCTTACAACACGCATGGCTTACGGAGGAAGAATTCTGTTCCACTTCCCCATGGAGGTAAGAGGAAATAAACAAGAAAAACTAGTAAGAAAATAGAAGAAAACCCAGGGGGGTGTGTATATATATGCTTGTACATGTATGTGTAGTGTGACCTAAGTGTAAGTAGAAGTAGCAAGACGTACCTGAAACCTTGCATGTTTATGAGACAGAAAAATGGACACCAGCAATCCTACCATCATGTAAAACAATTACAGGCTTTCGTTTTACACTCACTTGGCAGGACGGTAGTACCTCCCTGGGTGGTTGCTGTCTACCAGCCTACTACCTAATATATATATTATATATATATATATTATATATATATATATATATATATATATATATATAATGTCGTGCCGAATAGGTAAAATTGGCCAATTAGCAAGAACTCATTCAAAGTTAAGTCCTTTCTAAAATTTTCTCATACATGTTTAAAGATATATATTTTTCATTTATGTAAACGTAAAAATTAATAATTTTGTACCAGAAGAACGTTAGAAAACTTACCTAACCTTAATATAACAAGCGCAATTTGATTTAGCCTAATCCAACTATATATATTTTAGATAAGTTTACAATAATTTAATAATAAACAAACACAGTGAAATGTATATTTTTTCGTTAGGTTCAGAATGATTTTTGCGAAATTATTCCACACAAATTTTTCGCTTGCCTTATTCGGCAAGAAGAGCGTTGATATTTAAGCCAAAACCGCAAGTTTACCTATGCGGCACGATATATATAATGTGTGTGTACTCACCTAGTTGTACTCACCTAGTTGAGATTGCAGGGGTCGAATCCAAGCTCCTGGCCCTGCCTCTTCACTGGTTGCTACTAGGTCACTCTCCCTGAACCTTGAGCTTTATCATACCTCTGCTAAAAGCTATGTATGGATCCTGCCTCCACTACATCGATTCCCAAACTTCCACTTCCTGACTACTCTGTGGCTGAAGAAATACGTCCTAACGTCCCTGTGATTCATCTGTGTCTTCAACTTCCAACTGTGTCCCCTTGTTACTGTGTCCCATCTCTGGAACATCCTGTTTTTGTCCACCTTGTCAATTCCTCTCAGTATTTTGTATGTCGTTATCATGTCCCCCCTATCACTCCTGTCCTCCAGTGTCGTCAGGTTGATACCCCTTAACCTCTCCTCGTAGGACATACCTCTTAGCTCTGGGACTAGTTTTGTTGCAAACCTTTGCACTTTCTCTAGTTTCTTTACGTGCTTGGGTAGGTGTGGGTTCCAAACTGGTACCGCATACTCCAATATGGGCCTGACGTACACGGTGTACAGGGTCCTGAACGAATTCTTATTGAGATGTCGGAATGCTGTTCTGAGGTTTGCTAGGCGCCCATATGCTGCAGCCGTTATTTGGTTGATGTGCGCTTTAGGAGAAGTGCCTGGTGTTATACTCACCCCAAGATCTTTTTCCTTGAGTGAAGTTTGTAGTCTCTGACCCCCTAGACTGTACTCCGTCTGCGGTCTTCTTTGCCCTTCCCCAGTCTTCATGACTTTGCACTTGGTGGGGTTGAACTCCAGGAGCCAATTGCTGGACCAGGTCTGCAGCCTGTTCAGATCCCTTTGTAGTTCTGCCTGGTCTTCGATCGAATGAATTCTTCTCATCAACCTCACGTCATCTGCAAACAGGGACACTTCGGAGTCTATTCGTTCCGTCATGTTCACAAATGTCAGAAACAGCACTGGTCCTACGACTGACCCCTGTGGGACCCCGCTGGTCACAGGTGCCCACTCTGACACTTCGCCACGTACCATGACTCGCTGCTGTCTTCCTGACAAGTATTCCCTGATCCATTGTAGTGCCTTCCCTGTTGTCCCTGCTTGGTCCTCCAGTTTTTGCACTAATCTCTTGTGTGGAACTGTGTCAAACGCCTTCTTGCAGTCCAAGGAAATGCAATCCACCCATCCCTCTCTCTCTTGTCTTACTGCTGTCACCATGTCATAGAACTCCAGTAGGTTTGTGACACAGAATTTCCCGTCCCTGAAACCATGTTGGTTGCTGTTGATGAGATCATTCCTTTCTAGGTGTTCCAGCACTCTTCTCCTGATAATCTTCTCCATGACTTTGCATACTATACATGTCAGTGACACTAATCTGTAGTTTAGTGCTTCATGTCTGTCTCCTTTTTTAAAGATTGGGACTACATTTGCTGTCTTCCATGCCTCAGGCAATCTCCCTGTTTCGATAGATGTATTGAATATTGTTGTTAGGGGTACACATAGCGCCTCTGCTCCCTCTCTCAGGACCCATGGAGAGATGTTATCTGGCCCCATTGCCTTTGAGGTATCTAGCTCACTCAGAAGCCTCTTCACTTCTTCCTCGGTTGTGTGCACTGTGTCCAGCACATGGTGGTGTGCCCCACCTCTCCGTCTTTCTGGAACCCTTTCTGTCTCCTCTGTGAATACTTCTTTGAATCTCTTGTTGAGTTCCTCACATACTTCACAGTCATTTCTTGTTGTCTCTCCTCCTTCCTTCCTTAGCCTAATTACCTGCTTCTTATCTGTTGTTTTCCTCCTGATGTGGCTGTATAACAGTTTCGGGTCAGATTTGGCTTTCGCTGCTATGTCGTTTTCATATTGTCGTTGGGCCTCCCTTCTTATCTGTGCCTATTTATTTCTGGCTCTACGACTGCTTTCCTTATTCACCTAGGTCCTTTGCCTTCTATTTCTTCCATTCCCTAGCACACTTGGTTTTTGCCTCCCTGCGCCTTTGGGTGAACCATGGGCTCGTCCTGGCTTTTTCATTATTCCTGTTACCCTTGGGTGCAAACCTCTCTTCAGCCTCCTTGCACATTGTTGCTACATATTCCATCATCTCGTTAACTGGCTTCCCTGCCAGTTCTCTGTCCCACTGAACCCCGTGCAGGAAGTTCCTCATTCTCGTGTAGTCTCCTCTCTTGTAGTTTGGCTTCATTCGTCCTGGCCTTCCTGCTTTCCCCTCCACTTGTAGCTCTACTGTGTATTCGAAGCTTAAAACCACATGACTGCTGGCCCCAAGGAGTCTTTCATGTGTGATGTCCTCAATATCTGCATTACTCAAGGTGAATACTAAGTCCAGTCTTGCTGGTTCATCCTCTCCTCTCTTGTAGTGTCCCTTACGTGTTGGTACATGACGTTTTCCAGTACCACCTCCATCATCTTAGCCCTCCATGTATCTTGGCTCCCATGTGGCTCCAAGTTCTCCCATTCGATCTCCTTGTGGTTAAAGTCACCCATGATCAGGAGCTTTTCCCTGCATGCATGAGCTCTTCTGGCCACTGCAGCCATCGCTCTATTGCTCTTGTCATACTCTTGCCTTGGCCTCCTGCTGTTCTGTGGTGGGTTATACATCACTGCAATTACCACCTTGGAACCTCCAGAGTGAAGCGTTCCCACTATGTAATCACTTGCTTCTCCGTTGACTCCTCTCTGAAGCTCATCAAAATTCCATCGGTTTTTGATCAGCAGTGCCACTCCTCCACCCCCCCCTCCTGTTCCCTCTGTCTTTCCTCAGGATCTGGTATCCCATTGGAAAGATGGCATCTGTTATCATACATGTAAGCTTGGTTTCTGTGAGAGCTATGATGTCCGGTGATGCCTCTTTTACTCTTTCGTGCCACTCCTCCCACTTATTTGTTATTCCATCAGCGTTTGTGTACCATACCTTCAGTTTCCTTTCCGACACTGTAGTTTGGGGGGCCTGTGAAGGTGGGAGACTTGGTAGCGTACTGTGGGATTCTATAGCTGGGTGTTGGGTGGAAGCTGTGGGTATGGATTGTAGTTTGTGTTGGGATGGTGTGATAGGTTGTGGGGTTCTGAGGATAGTTGTGTGTGTGCTTGCCCTTGCTGCTTTGTTCTGCTCTGATTGACCTCTGCTGGTTCCATCCTTGTCTCCTTTCGTAGCTCCTTTCGCTTTTTTGTCCTCTCCCTCAGCTGCTGTCGTTCTGTTTGTGTTCTGTCTCTGTCTAGGAACACCCTCTTGTACTCTTCCGAGTATTTCAACCGTAGTTTCTCTTGGAGGATCCTGTTCCGCACTGTTTCTGTCCTGAGAATCAGCTTGATCGGTCGTTTTCTCCCCTTCAAGTACCCCCCTATTCTCTGAATATTTACAATCTCGTCCATGTCTTCACCTATTTCCGCGATGATTTTCACTATCTCCTTTCTTTCTGCCTGCCGTCTTTCAGTGTGTGTCCTTTCCTCTCTCTCTTCCTGAAGCCCTTGGATAAACACTGATTTTGCCCTTTCCTCCTCCCATTGCCTCTCCCTCTGTGACTCTGGTCCCTGTCTGTACGTGGTCATTTTCTCCCTTGATTTTTCCAGTGGCTCTTGGTAGCATGGTCGTGCCTCTGCATTCGACCTATCACCCTCTCTACCTGCACCCAGCTGCTCTTCCCGTTCACTCCTTGGCCCTTCTTGGCGTGTGTGTGTGTGTGTGTGTGTGTGTGTGTGTGTGTGTGTGTGTGTGTGTTTGTAATACGCACACTCATTATGTATGTATATTCAAGATGTACGTTATATGTCAGATCATTTGTGTATAAGTGAATTAATATCTATGTAAGTATTTTCGTACAGCATAATGATAAAAGTTCACATCAAATGAGTCATTTTTATTTATCTGTTATTATTATTATTATTATTATTATTATTATTATTATTATTATTATTATTATTATTATTATTATTATAATGTGTGTGGTGTCCCTTACAGGGCGGTCTATTATTATTATTATTATTATTATTATTACTATTATTATTATTAATAATAATGTATGTGTGGTGTCCCTTACAGAGGTGGTCATGAGGGAGAAGAAAGGCGGTGCATTAAGTAAAGTTCAGAAACTCAAGAGACGTATATCAAACAGCTTCGGAAAATTAGGTAAGTGTGTACTTGCCAATTTATGTTTCCGGAGGTCGATTCTTGGCTCCTGGCATGGTTTGTGTACGTACTTACATGTGGTTACAGGGGACGAGTCTAAACTCCTGGCTCCGTGTCTCAGCAGCTTACAGCTTGATATATGCACTCCTCCTTAAGAAGTATTTCCTGACATCTGTGTGGCTAAAGTGGTTCTTGAACTACGAGCTGTGCCCACTGCTACATGTTTCCTACCTTTTAAGCATCCTTTCCAGGTCTACCTTGTCAATTCTTCTGAGTATTTTGTATGTTGTTATGTCTCTCCTGGTCCTTCTGTCCTCCAGTGTCATTAGAGGCAATTCCTTTAATCTTTCGTCGTAATGTGAAAGACCTACGGTGACAGTAGTAGTTTCTGGTTGTCAGAGGCCGTTGTCGATAGACACTTGAACTGTGTGTGTATATATATATATTATATATATATATATATATATATATATATATATATATATATATATATATATATAGAGGTCTTTGTGGCATTTATAGATTTGGAAAAGGCGTATGACAGGGTGGATAGGGGGGCAATGTGGCAGATGTTGCAGGTGTATGGTGTAGGAGGTAGGTTACTGAAAGCAGTGAAGAGTTTTTACGAGGATAGTGAGGCTCAAGTTAGAGTACATAGGAAAGAGGGAAATTATTTCCCAGTAAAAGTAGGCCTTAGACAAGGATGTGTGTTGTCACCGTGGTTGTTTAATATATTTATAGATGGGGTTGTAAGAGAAGTAAATGCGAGGGTCTTGACAAGAGGCGTGGAGTTAAAAGATAAAGATTCACACATAAAGTGGGAGTTGTCACAGTTGCTCTTTGCTGATGACACTGTGCTCTTGGGAGATTCTGAAGAGAAGTTGCAGAGATTGGTGGATGAATTTGGTAGGGTGTGCAAAAGAAGAAAATTAAAAGTGAATACAGGAAAGAGTAAGGTTATGAGGATAACAAAAATATTAGGTGATGAAAGATTGGATATCAGATTGGAGGGAGAGAGTATGGAGGAAGTGAATGTATTCAGATATTTGGGAGTGGACGTGTCAGCGGATGGGTCTATGAAGGATGATGAGGTGAAAAGGGTGAGTGGTGCACTTAGGAGTCTGTGGAGACAAAGAACTTTGTCCTTGGAGGCAAAGAGGGGAATGTATGAGAGTATAGTTTTACCAACACTCTTATATGGGTGTGAAGCATGGGTGATGAATGTTGCAGCGAGGAGAAGGCTGGAGGCAGTGGAGATGTCATGTCTGAGGGCAATGTGTGGTGTGAATATAATGCAGAGAATTCGTAGTTTGGAAGTTAGGAGGAGGTGCGGGATTACCAAAACTGTTGTCCAGAGGGCTGAGGAAGAGTTGTTGAGGTGGTTCGGACATGTAGAGAGAATGGAGCGAAACAGAATGACTTCAAGAGTGTATCAGTCAGTAGTGGAAGGAAGGCGGGGTAGGGGTCGGCCTAGGAAAGGTTGGAGGGAGGGGGTAAAGGAGGTTTTGTGTGCGAGGGGCTTGGACTTCCAGCAGGCGTGCGTGAGCGTGTTTGATAGGAGTGAATGGAGACGAATGGTTTTTAATACTTGACGTGCTGTTGGAGTGTGAGCAAGGTAACATTTGTGAAGGGGTTCAGGGAAACCGGCAGACCGGACTTGAGTCCTGGAGATGGGAAGTACAGTGCCTGCACTCTGAAGGAGGGGTGTTAATGTTGCAGTTTAAAAACTGTAGTGTAAAGCACCCTTCTGGCAAGACAGTGATGGAGTGAATGATGGTGAAAGTTTTTCTTTTTCGGGCCACCCTGCCTTGGTGGGAATCGGCCAGTGTGATAATAAAAAAAATAAAAATAATATATATATATATATATATATTATATATATATATATATATATATATATATATATATATTTTATATATATATGTGTGTGTGTGTGTGTGTGTGTGTACTCATCTAGTTGAGGTTGCAGGGGTCGAGTCCAAGCTCCTGGCCCCGCCTCTTCACTGGTCGCTACTAGGTCACTCTCCCTGAGCCGTGAACTTTATCATACTTCTGCATAAAGCTATGTATGGATCCTGCCTCCACTACATCGCTTCCCAAACTATTCCACTTCCTGACTACTCTATGGCTGAAGAAATACTTCTTAATATCCCTGTGATTCATCTGTGTCTTCAGCTTCCAACTGTGTCCCCTTGTTGTTGTGTCCCATCTCTGGAACATCCTGTCTTTGTCCACCTTGTCAATTCCTCTCAGTATTTTGTATGTCGTTATCATGTCCCCCCTATCTCTCCTGTCCTCCAGTGTCGTCAGGTTGTGTGTGTGTGTGTGTGTGTGTGTGTGTGTACTCGCCTAAATGTACTCACCTAATTGTGGTTGCAGGGGTCGAGACTCAACTCCTGGCCCCGCCTCTTCACTGAGTGCTACTAGGTCCTCTCTCTCCCTGCTCCATGAGCTTTATCATACCTCATCTTAAAGCTATGTATGGTTCCTGTATCCACTGCCTCGCTAGGCTATTCCACTTCCTGACTACTCTATGACTGAAGAAATACTTCCTAACATCCCATTGACTCATCTGGGTCTTCAACTTCCAATTGTAACCCCTTGTTTCTGTGTCCCCTCTCTGGAACATTCTGTCTCTGTCCACCTTGTCTGTTCCATGCAGTATTTTATATGTTGTTATCATGTCTCCCCTAACCCTCCTGTCCTCCAGTGTCGTCAGGCCGATTTCCCTTAACCTTTCTTCGTAGGGCATTCCCCTTAGCTCTGGAACTAACCTTGTCGCAAACCTTTGCACTTTCTCTAATTTTTTGAAGTGCTTCATCAAGTGTGGGTTCCAAACAGGTGCTGCATACTCCAATATGGGCCTGACGTACACTGTCTTGAACGATTCCTTACTAAGGTATCAGAACGCTATTCTCAGATTTGCCTGGCGCCCATATGCTGCAGCAGTTATCTGGTTGATGTGTGCTTCCGGAGACGTGCTCGGTGTTATACTCACCCCAAGATCTTTCTCCTTGAGCGAGGTTTGCAGTCTTTGGCCACCTAGCCTATACCCTGTCTGCGGTCTTCTTTGCCCTTCTCCGATCTTCATTACTGTGCATTTGGCGGGGTTAAATTCGAGAAGCCAGTTTCTGGACCAGGTGTCCAGCCTGTCCAGGTGTGTGTGTGTATAGTGTGTATGTGTGTGTGTGTGTGTGTGTGTGTGTGTGTGTGTGTGTGTGTGTGTGTGTGGGTGTTTGGGTGGGCGAGGGTGGTTGGGCGAGCGGGCGTTCACGTGGATGGGTGTGTGCGCGAGGCTGCTGCTACTGCTATTGGGGTGTCACTTTTCAATATATGTCGCGTAAATAAGAAGAGTGAGCTAGCACGCTAGCAAGAGAAAGAGTGAGCTAGCACGCTATCAGCAGAAAGAACTATCATACTAGCAAGAGGAAAATGAAGTTACCATGCTAGCAAGTGTAAGATCAAGCTAGCAAGAACTAGCAACATCAAGCTACAAGAGGAGGGTTATACGTAAGCCATACTAGCCGCAAAGGCAGCCACATAAACCGTGACCCTCATATCTGCCAGTCATTCTTAGTTATTGCATATATATAACCAGTATTAAGCCTCACTGAGAACCATATATATAAAACGTATATACACACTCCCTTCCTCATCTTTCTCATCTACATTTGAATGTGCCATAATGTTGATGTAGACCTTGCTTATTGTGCTTGTTTCACTAAGATTGTTTTATGTCACCCAGGTAATTAATACTGTTTTATATTGCTTTGGGGTTTATTGATTGTTTTAAATCTTGGCATACCAGTCTGTAAGTAAAGTATATTTAATTGATGGTAATTAATGTTCGTTTTAAATATGTTAAGTAGGATTAATCTGTCTGTACACACACACACACACACACACACACACACACACACACACACACACACACACACACACACACACACACACACACACACACACACACACACACACACACACACACACGCACACACACACACAGACACACACACAGGCACACACATAGACACACACATAGACACACACACACACACACACACACACACACACACACACACACACACACACACACACACACACACACACACACACACACACACACACACACACACACACACCCTCACGGACACACTCGCAAATACAACAGGCCTAGTGTCTAATCGACATGCGCCTAGGACAAAATGGTAACTAACTCAGTTCCATATAGTTCGTACACTTCTGTCTATTTCGTCTTCTTACTCTTCTGTTTATTATATCTTAGCCTTCTATCTGTTACATCTTATTCTTCTGTCTATTACATCTTCTTACCCTTCTGTCTATTACATCATCTTACATTTTATTATTACATCTTCTTACCCTTCTATTACCCCTTCTTACCCTTCTATCTATTACATCTTGTTACATCTTCTTACCCTTCTGTTACATCTTCTTACCCTTCTATCTATTACATCTTGTTACATCTTCTTACCCTTCTGTTACCTCTTCTTACCCTTCTATCTATTACATCTTGTTACATCTTCTTACCCTTCTGTTACATCTTCTTACCCTTCTATCTATTACATCTTGTTACATCTTCTTATCCTTCTGTTACCTCTTCTTACCCTTCTATCTATTACATCTTGTTACATCTTCTTACCCTTCTGTTACATCTTCTTACCCTTCTATCTATTACATCTTGTTACATCTTCTTACCCTTCTGTTACCTCTTCTTACCCTTCTATCTATTACATCTTGTTACATCTTCTTACCCTTCTGTTACATCTTCTTACCCTTCTATCTATTACATCTTGTTACATCTTCTTACCCTTCTGTTACCTCTTCTTACCCTTCTATCTATTACATCTTGTTACATCTTCTTACCCTTCTGTTACATCTTCTTACCCTTCTATCTATTACATCTTCTTACCCTTCTATCTATTACATCTTCTTACCCTTCTATCTATTACATCTTCTTACCCTTCTATCTATTACATCTT